CTTTATAAAGCAAGATCAGCATAAAAATTTTCGGCGAGTGGCGCAGCACGTGATGTCTTTAGATGATTCGCACCATATCACTCATTCCCAAGGGGGGTGCACTTAGAGGGGGTTGACTGTAATTGTGAAAATATTCTAGAGAATCCAAGCTACAAACTGATATAAGCTTATTCATTTTTAATATATATATAAAATTGAAAATGTTATCACGAATTTCAATTGTATTGAAAAGTTCCAAAGGTACTAAATGACATGAAATATTAGTGAATACATATTCATAAACTTTTTGTCCAGATAGTAAAAAAATAAAATGTTTAAACAACAGATTACACGAATCTAGACTTTTCATAAATGAAAATTCAAACTACGTTAATAAGACAAATAAATTTAATTAGTTTGCTTTTTTATTATTGCTCGAGCTATAAAAGGATTACATGTGGTATAAATTTAATGGATTGTATTTTTTTTTGGTATTAAATAAATCAAATACAAAACCTCAGTTTACTAGCCAAACCAGCAATTTATAAACCGGACCAACTCTCCAATTCATCAACATTTTAATCTTCTTTACTATTATTATTAGAGTCTAATGTTCATTAATTATCAAAAGAGATTATCAATGAGTGGGAATTTTCAATTAATTAATAATGAATGAAAAATTAATTTACCTTTATTAAGGAGAAGAGAATTAAAATCATGATAATTTAACAAACTATCATTACTTGTATAAAATTTTAAGCCTTTTGATTTAGCAAATTCATCATCTAATATCCTACTTGTATGGTATGCATCTGGATGTGGTCTATGTAGTTGTCATGAACCACCACCACCACCACCACCACCACAACTAATATTACTATTATTATTATCATTAAAAATTGCTTCATATTTATTTACAGCAAATAGCCAAAGCTCACCAATAGTTGGTATTTTTGATGGATCCACATCCCAACACTTCTGCATCATTTGTAGATAATCATCAGGCATTTCAGGTAATATTGGTGGTCGTAACCCTTCTTCACATATATCAAAATTAAACAAATGATCATGAGGTCTATCATCAAATGGTGAATAACCTGCAAATATTTCCCACATTAACATCCCAACACTGTAAATATCTGTTTCTTTTGTGTTCTTTGTATTATTTGTGCCTCTAAGTAGCTCAGGTGCAACATATGATACAATTTCATATGTTTTATTTGATGACTTTTCATCAACTGGTCCACATAATCCCAAATCTGCAATATAACAAACACCTCCATCCAATAATATATTACCACTATGTAAATCACAATGAATTAAATCTTTTTCATGTATATAATATAATGCAACACATAACCATCTAAAAATTGCCATTCTATCTTTTAATGTCAAATTAGAATGATTTTTTGTAAATAATCCGTTAAATTTCCTTCTAGATAATAATTTAAAACTATTGCATAATTCCCATTATCTGGAAATTTAGTTATACCATAGCAAGTGACAATTGTAGGTGATTTAATTTTACAATAATTAATTGCCTGTAATTAAATATAAAATCAATTAGTATTAAATAATACAGCATTATTTATTTTTGTTTTAAATAAAAATTACCAACCTCATCAAAAAATGCTTTCCCTGGATTATTTGAATTATTAAACTTTTCAATACTACATATTGAACACCAAAATAACTAAATTCTTTTTTCTTTTCATTATAATCAATTATCTCTCCTCTTGTTCATGTAGTTGTATAAATTGAACTAAATCCACCTTCAGTTAATTTTGTTATATCTTCAAATTGCTCAAAAGGTATCCATTCTAAAATATGAGTGGCAAAGATGATTTCATTTGACATTGTTGAATAAATTTATCAACTATGTCATCCCCAGATGTCCAAGTGGTGAAAAGGCTCTGTAATTGTAATCTAATACAACCTTCACAGAACCTATCAGAATATTTTGTCAATTTACACTTGTTACATTTTTTTGGATTGCCTTTTTTATGTGCTGCACTCTCTAAATTCGAAGCTATAAATAAACCTTTCCTTACAATATTTTTTTTCATTTTCAGAAAGCCTCTCATTTTTCTTGACTAATGAAAAAAAATAACCTTTTCTACTTTCTCTATCAGAATTACCCAGAGCATTATCATACATTTCATTATCAATTTTATGTACAAATTCCTTTCTTTCTTGTAATAATGATGATAATAATTTATTATATAAAAAATTTTCCCCAGTATAGTACTTTCTACATACCGCCTCTTGACTCTAAACTCAGACCTATAGAATATTTTTTAACAATAAAATCTTTTGATAAATTTATACACTTCAACAAATGTTTCAAATATTGTTATTTGATCCCTACTAATTCCATTTCTAATTGATTATCTGATTCTAGTATATTTATTGACGATAATCCAAATATAATTAAAGAAAGTTTCCTTCGTGATAAAATCAATGTAGGTAATTGTTCACTTTTATCATGCTTTCTTTCCTAGAGTTAATAAATCTAATATGTGATTCCTTCTTTGTTCGATAGCTTTAACATCATTTATTTTAAATGCATTTTTCCTTTTGTTCATTTTTTATATGGTATGTATATCTTATAGTTCATCAATTGGGCATATAAAAAAAATCAATTATTTTGGCAAGAGTAGCTACAATTTACAAAGAAGCCCTACCCAAGTTGATGTCCTCTAGTGTTGGTCTCCAAAACTATTGTGAAGAAGTGAGAGTCATAACTGAAATTAAAATTTGTGTCAAAAACTAAACCAAAAGTCAAAGGTCAAAACTGTGGAGAAACCTTTTGACTTTCGCGCAGTTGTGAAACTCTCTAGCTCTGGGAACCAACACTAACTCAAACTGAGAAATTGAAGAAAGCAACCAATACTGCATCATATTCAATTAAGGATACTGTCCCTGCTTTTGAAACTGCTCGTAATTTAGAATTAGATTATAATGAACCCAAGGTTTTTTGTGCATTAAAGAAAAAATTAACTTATATAATTCTAAAACCCAAACCAAGGAAAAATAACTTGATATTTATCAATTGACTACATTACCATATCATACTGGGGTATTCGATATAAGTTGATCAACAAATCTAATTAATGTCATAATGTAAATAAATATATGCGGATTTTTTTATGGTACCCTTTTTTTTTCTAAAAAGGAAACAGTGTAATAAAATATATTTTCAAATACGTTATTACGTTATGAGCATTATGAAACTTTCAATCGCTAAGGCTTTTGGAAAATCGTTACATTTATAAAATTATTAGAGGTTTTTAATCAGGATACATTTG